GACCACTATGTATGCTGGACACAGCTGGAAAACTCTTAGAAAGGCTGCTAAAACCTAGAATAGAAGCGGCTATCGCCAGCGGCGGCGGACTTTCCCCAAGACAGTACGGGTTCAGGCCCGGGAGATCTACAATTGGAGCTATAAAACATGTAACAACAACAGTGGAAGCCGCATACCAACACAAAAAGCTAGTCCTGCTTGCAACCTTAGACGTTCGCAACGCCTTCAACACCGCAAAATGGGAAAATATGATACACGCACTAGAAGAAGTCTACAACATACCTTAGAGTCATGGTTAGAAGCTATCTAGAAGGCCGGGAGTTATTATACCATACCACCGATGGACCCCGGCAAATGACGATGCCGCAGTGATCACCGCACGAGACACCGAAGATGCTCGCCGCAAATTAAATCAGACTATGATAAGAACACAGGCATGGCTCGACTCACATGGTCTTAAACTTGCAGCAGAGAAAACCGAGCTAATACTCCTAACTAAGAAGCATATTCCCTTAGAAGTGAGCATGAAACTGACCGGCATTACATTAAAGACACAAAGAGTAATAAAGTACTTAGGTGTAAGGCTAGACCCCAGGCTAACGTATTGGGCACAAATGCAGCACGCAGCCGCAAAAGCAGCAAAGGCAACGGCTTATCTAAGCAGATTAATGGCCAATATTGGTGGACCGACCCAAAGTAAAAGAAAACTTCTAATGTCCACAACCTTGAATATTTTGCTATACGGAGCGGAGATCTGGGCTGACACCCTACAGAAAAATAACCGTTGCAAGATACTCTCCAGAGCCCATCGCACTGCAGCTTTAAGAGTAGCCTCTGCGTACCGTACAGTGTCCGGCGAGGCAATACTCGTGATAAGCGGAACGGTTCCCATTGATCTACTAGCAGCCGAGCGCAAGAAAATGTGGGAGCTTAAGGCGCAAACGAAACCAAGTGACATCGAAAGGGAAAGAGTAAGAAACGAGACACTAAGACTTTGGCAAGATAGGTGGCAAAACGAAAGCCGCGGCGGATAGACGGCCAGGCTAATAAAAGACCTAAAACTTTGGACACAAAGAGAACATGGCGAAGTAAACTTTTACGTTACACAAATGCTGTCTGGGCATGGTTACTTTCGCAAATACCTGTATAGAATGGGAAAAGCCGAAGAGCCGTCATGCAAATACAGCGACGCAGAAGAAGACGATGCCGAGCACACTTTCTTCGGATGCAAAAGATGGGAAGCCGAGCGCAATAATCTGCAAGACCTGGTAGGACCAATTAACCCAGATAACGTTATCCAAGCCATGCTACATAGCGAAACTAACTGGAAGAACATAGCTAAATATGCAGAATACCTACTTAGAGTCAAGAAGCGGGACCTGGACGCAGGTGCACCGAGGGAACTTTAGTTAATGAGAAATATGGAACGCCACCCTGAAGCAATGCGATTAGTGGTCCCAGGGTGGGCGACGGTTCCAATTCGGGGGGAGTGTTTTAGTCTCCGGACATACCATTGTTGTGACGACAGCTTTGATGATGCAATAGGCATTTTCGACCACCTGCCCGCGAAAAAAAAAATCATTATCATTATCATTATCATTATCATTATCATCATTATCATTATCATTATCATTATCATTATCATTATCATTCTCATTATCATTATCATTATCATTATCATTATCATTATCATTATCATT